TGTGGCGTAGGGCGGTGCAGATGGCAGCAGTCACACTGTGTAGCGTAAGGCGGTGCAGATGGCAGCAGTCACACTGTGTGGCGTAGGGCGGTGCAGATGGCAACAGTCACACTGTGTGGCGTAGGGCGGCGCGAATGGCAGCAGTCACACTGTGGTGTAGGGCGGTGCGGATGGCAGCAGTCACACTGTGTGGCGTAGGGCAGTGCAGTTGGCAGCAGTTACACTGTGTGGCGTAGGGCAGTGCAGCTGGCAGCCCTGTAGGTTGGCGGGATCTGGCGGTGGGCATGGTTTTGAACAGATGTGGAGTGTGGACAAAGGGAAAAGGAGTCAAGGGTTATTGCAGCGTTTGTGGCCTGAACAAATGAGATAATGGAGAGAACTACAGAAGGAGGGGAATCAGAAGTGAGGCTGGATGCATTAGGGTTGAAAACCTGAGAGTGCCTGAATGAAGGTGTCAGGTGAGGAGCTGGTCAGGTGTGGGGGCTGGCAGAAGGCCAGGTTGGAGGCAGGCATGTGAGTCTTCAGCATAGATGGCATTGGTGTTCAGTAATGAGTGCGCCCCCTCTGTAATAGACATAGATGAGGGCTGAGCCCCAGACTCGCCAGGACTTTGAGGCGACACAGCTGTCAGTGAGGCAGTTAGGGAACTGAGAGAAGCTGTCCCAGATTCACATAGGAGAGGGACTTTCGAAGGATTGGGGCTGTGTCAGTGCCGCTGCAGGTTGAGTTGGAAGTGTGGTCACAGCTGACCCCTGATCTGGTGATGTGGTGCATGTTTGGGGTGACAGCCCCACTGCAGTGGACTCAAAGAAGGAGGAAACGGAGAAATGGAGCATGGGGTGAGGGCTCTTTGAATGTGGCTGTGGAGGAGGAGAGTCATGGGGTAGTAATTAGTGGGACATGAGGCCCATGAAATGCATTTTTCGGGTAGCTGGGAACTGGTGAGTTTCTTTACGATGAGAAGAGTGGTGGGCTTGGAGGGTGGGGACTTTAGGTTGGAGGAGAGGGGTGGGTGCTCAAGTGCTGTCCCTGCATGTGTGAGAGGGAAAGGAAGTTCACACACAAGGGGAAGTGTTGACCTTAGGTCAGATCAAGGACAGTTTAACCCAGGTAACAAGCCTGGCAGGGGATGGGTGGAGATACAGGCTGGCAGGAGATGTGGCAGGCAGTGGCTGTCCTTGCCTCATTTCTTCTGTTTTCTCGTTGAAGCAAAAAGCAGGGTCACCAGTGGGGAGGGAGGAGGGAGTGATGGGGTCTGTAAGAAGACAGGAGAAGTGGGTGGTCCTGTCAGGGAGTGGGAAGGGTAGGAGTTACTGGCAGCTCTCAGGCTCCATTAGGCAAGCAGCTCTGAATTTAAAGAACTCAGTCAGCAAGAGTGCAGGCATGAATCAGACCAAAGCTTGGGTTTTCCCATCCAAGTATGATGGAGGCAGGAAAGGGCAGGGGGCCTGGATTCTATGCAGGAGGGTGATTCTCATGTAACTTGCAGTGAACACTGTGCCAGACTTTGGAGTCTAAGCTAGTTACAGAGGGGAGAAGAGGACATGAAAGAGGGAATGAGGGACAGTGAAGAGGTGACAGTGTTGATACATTTATACATTTGTTTAAAATATCTGTCTTGGTTTTTTAATGGAGTCCAAGCATATCCCCACCCCTCTGCAACTCATCAAGGGTTCACTAAGGGTCAGAGGGGTGTTGTGCACCACAGGCCAATCTGTCCTGGTGTCGGATGTTAAAACAGGAGCCACAAAGAAGCCATCTTGCGTGGGACAGGCTTGGGTGTGAGACCAGAGCTGTGGGTAGCAGCACGTTGGGTCAGGAGTGAGGGGCAGAGGAAACACTTTCCACCTCTTGGAGATGAATTTCATCCTGCCCTCATTGAGGAGATCCCCGTCCATGAAGTGAGGGGAGAGATGATTTTGTTGTCTTTTGTTTCAGATTCTAATGTAGGAACTGGTGAGAAGAAGGTGACTGAAGCCTGGATTTCTGAGGATGAAAACTCACATAGGACAATGTCAGACAAAGTCACAGCGATGGAGCTCCCCTCCCCCGAGTCTGGGGAAGTCTGTGAGCCCAGATTAGAGGAGCTCTTGGGAAATCCAGAAGGTCAGAGCCTGGAGAGTTTCCCATCTCAGGACAGGGGCTGCAAGCAGGTGACCGTGACCCGTTGGAAGATCCAAACACGGGAGACAGCTCAAGTGTGCACCAAGTCAAGCAGACGCCCTGTTCTGAACTCAGACCTTCTTATACTTCAAAGAGAGCTCATAGAGGGGGAAGCCAATCCTTGTGATATCTGTGGCAAAACCTTCACATTTAATTCGGACCTAGTTAGGCATCAGATTTTGCATGCTGGGAAGAAACCTTACACGTGCGATCAGTGTGGGAAAGGCTTTGGCCAGAGCTCACACCTCATGGAGCATCAGAGAATTCACACTGGAGAGAGGCTCTATGTCTGTAATGTGTGTGGGAAAGACTTCATTCGCTATGCAGGTCTCATTGAGCATCAGCGCGTTCATTCGGGAGAAAAGCCCTTCAAATGTGCGCAATGTGGGAAGGCGTTTTGTCACAGTTCAGACCTGATTAGGCACCAGAGAGTTCACACCAGAGAGAGACCTTTTGAGTGCAAAGAGTGTGGGAAAGGCTTCAGTCAAAGCTCCTTACTTATTCGTCATCAGAGGATTCATACAGGAGAAAGGCCCTACGAGTGCAATGAATGTGGGAAATCCTTCATAAGGAGCTCGAGCCTCATTCGCCATTATCAGATCCACACAGAAGTGAAACAGTATGAATGCAAAGAATGTGGGAAGGCGTTCCGTCATCGCTCAGACCTGATTGAGCACCAGAGAATTCACACCGGAGAGAGACCCTTTGAATGCAACGAGTGTGGGAAGGCTTTTATTCGGAGTTCAAAGCTCATTCAGCATCAGCGGATCCATACTGGGGAGAGGCCTTACGTATGCAATCAGTGTGGGAAGCGCTTCAGCCAGACGTCAAACTTCACCCAGCATCAGAGGATTCACACTGGAGAGAAACTCTATGAATGTAACGAGTGTGGGAAAGCTTTCTTTCTGAGTTCATACCTTATTCGACACCAGAAAATCCACACCGGGGAGAGGGTGTATGAATGTAAGGAATGCGGGAAGGCGTTTCTCCAGAAAGCCCATCTCACTGAGCACCAGAAGATCCACTCTGGGGACAGGCCCTTCGAATGTAAAGACTGCGGGAAAGCCTTCATCCAGAGCTCCAAGCTGCTTCTGCACCAGATTATTCACACTGGAGAAAAGCCCTATGTGTGTAGTTATTGTGGGAAAGGCTTCATTCAGAGGTCAAACTTCCTTCAACACCAGAAAATTCATACTGAAGAGAAGCTCTATGAGTGTAGTCAGTACGGGAGAGATTTTAACTCAGCCACAAACTTTAAAAATAATCAGAGTGTTCACCAAGAGGGACTTTCCTTGAGTAAGGCCTCCGTGCATTTGGGTGAGAGGTCTGCAGAGCAGGGGGAACACACAGATAACTTATAAATAATAACTCTTCTGCCCAATGAGTGATGTTTGGAAATGGGTGGACTTAGGATTCATGTGGCGTCTACGATTTGGACATGTCAGAATTTTGTGAGTCATGGATGGGACTGTTTTTGGAGTGGGTGCCACCTGCCACTGTGTGGCACTACCGGGCTTAGCCCTCCTCCTTAGCTGTGAGCGCTGTCCTTGGGAGAGTCACAGGGCTTGACCCCTGACTCTGAGCTGGAACATCAGGGGCAGGGAGGAGACAGGTCTCAAGCAAAGGTTTTTTAAAAAATGTTATCCACAATGACAGTCCATCCTTGAGTTAAATCCCTTTTAGAGCAGGACTGTGTATCTAATGTTATTACTTAGGAGAATGTTACCTAGCACATTTTGATCTATTAAATCACGTTGAAGAAAGATAACCCCCAAGCCATTTCCCTGTTGTCCTTAGGAGGAACTCCAGGCCTCCCATCGTGTACCCTACCGTGTGCCCCAAGGCCTCCTGTTTCCTCAAGCCTCGTCTCCCTCTGCCTAATCCCCTGCCTCACAGTTGATGCTGCGGCAGCACCGACTGCTTCATCTTCCCCATGCTGCACGCAGCTTCCTGCCTCTCTCACCCTGGTTCTTATTGAAGGGTCTCCTTCTCTCAGCCAGTTAACTCCGAATCATGGTTCAGGACGTGCCTCAGACATCATGTCAGGGACTGTTTGCCTCCGGCTTAGCTGGCAGTGCTCTCCATGCTCCTGTGGCTCAGTAATTACTGCTATTACTGTATTTACTTGCATATGCCAGAATGACTTGTAGACTTTCATTATACTGTCAGTTCCTGAGGACAGTGATTATATCTGATTGATTTCCACGTGTCCACTGTCTAGCACAAGGCAATAAAAAATGCACCCCCAAATCTATGTGTAATTGGCATCTCTTGCTTTGTTTTCAGCTGTTGGCTGTTTTTTTGTTTGTTCATTTTGTATCAGTATAATCTACGATTCTGTCCAGTATCTTCTCAGCCCTGCTACCGTCTGCTGCTCCTATTTAACTCAGTAGTTGCAGGCAATTGCCAGTGCACATCCACACCCACCTTTGTGCTGCCTTACAGCTCACGCAGAACTGTCCGCTTGATCTGGAGGGCATTGACACCTGACTCAGCTGGAACAGTGGGGACAGGAGGCGGCAGGTCTCAAGAGAAGGTCTTCACTCGTCCGTCTCTGTCTCACTCGAAGGGGACAGTCTCAGTGCATTATGTAACTCTTCTGTTTTAGCAGTTCTAAGGTTGAACTGAGCTGTCGTTTTCCATGCTGTGTGGTTCATTTTGTCATTTATTTGAAAATGTATTGATATCTATAAGGAATAGTCCTAAACGTTGGGAGAACAGATGAGCAACACACCACCCGCAGTCACCCACAGTGTAGTGGGGAAGACAGAGATCACAGTACAGTGAGTCAAGTGTGTGTTCTCAGTTGTGAAGGAGCGCAGATGAGGGGGTGACTGATGTGGCACGGAGCTGGGAAGGCTTTACAGAAGAGGTGACATTTCAGCTGAGCCAGAGAGATCAGCAGAGATTAGCTAAAGAAGCAAATATGATCCAGGGGAGGAGAGAAAATAGGATCCTGAAGAAATGTGGAGTCGTGACAGCCGTTTTGCTAGGGCTGTGCTAAAGCAGGTGTATTAAATGCACAGCGGACCACCACCTGGCAAAACTCTTAGTCTTTGCCTCTGAATTTCATCTGAACATGAACCCCAAAAGTCCAGTTTTGTAATGATATTTTTTTTCCTCAAGAGGCCATAGTTTGAATTCTTAACAAATGCTACCAACCCTAAAACCCTTGAGAGGACAAGTAATTCAAAAAAGACATCTACATTTTCTGGAAAATCAGCATTACTAGAGATGTTTCAAATGCTATAGATTTCACCACACCATTTTAATCAACTTTACTGAGATTAAATTTTCATATAACAAAACACCTATTTTAAGTGTACAGGGTTTTGAAAAATCCATATACCTGTTTAACCATCACTGCCAGAACCAAGAACAACATTTCTATCACCCAAAAAAGTTCCCTTTCGCCCTTTCCTAGTTAGGCCGACTCCAGCTACAGGTGACCACTTTGTATCCATGTAGATGAGCTTTGCTTGGTTTAGAACCTCATACAAGTGGATTTATTATGTGTTCTTTGGTGTCTGATGTCTTTCACTTCGGCATGCTTTTAGACTCAGCCAGCTGCTTCGTGTTTCAGTAGTTCTCACTGGATAGTGTTCCATTGTATAGATGAGCCATCATTTGTTTATACTTTGATGTGTCGTTGGGTTTCCAGTCTCAGCTCTTCAAACTATGAACATTTGTGTAAAAGTATGTATTTGCACATGTATTTTTACTTCCCTTGGGTAAGTACCTAGGACTTTAATTGCTGAGTTTATAAGTGTGTTAGTCCATTCAGGCTGCCATAACAAAATACCATCAACAGGGAGGCTTATAAACAGAAATTTATGTCCTACAGTTCTGGAGGCTGGGAAGTCCAAGATGAGGGTGTCAGCCTTTGGTGTCTAGTGAGGGCCTGCTTCCTTTGTAAGTAGATGTCATCTCACTGTAACTGCACATGGTGGAAATGGACTAGCAAACTTACCCCAATTGTGAGGGCTCTCCCCTTGTGATTCTGTTACCTCCCCAAGACCCCACGTCATGTCACCTTGCGGGTTAGGAATTTGACATGAATTGTGCAAGGACGTAAGCATTCAGTCCATTGAAATAAGTGTTGTTAACTTTAAGAAATTGTCATCTGGGCACGGTGGCTCACGCCTATAATCCCAGCACTTTGGGAGGCCGCGGTGGGTGGATCACCTGAGGTCAGGAGTTCAAAACCAGCCTGGCTAACATGGCCGAAACCCCATCTCTACTAAAAATACAAAAACTAGCCAGGTGTGCTGCAGCAAGCCTATAATCTCAGCTACTTGGGAGGCTGAGGCGGGAGAATTGCTTGAACCCGGGAACAGTGGTTGCGGTGAGCTGAGATGGCGCCACTGCACCCTGGCCTGGTTGACAGAGCAAGGCTCCATCTTAAAAAAAAAAATAATTGTTGCACAGCCCTCCATAGTGGTTGAATCGTTTTACATCCCTGCCACAGTATGGGAAGATTCCAGTTGCTCCTTATCTTTGCTAGCACTTGGTATTTCAGTCTCTTAAAATTTGATCCACTCTAGTCTTAACGATTTTAATTTGTATTTGTGCACTAAATAATGTATGCCTATGATTTCATCTGCTTATGGCTGTTCTGTGTCATCTTTTGTGATGTGTCTGTTCATATCTTTTGCCTATTTTTAAGTTGGGTTGCTCATTGTTGACTAAAATTCTTTCCATATTCTAGATGAAAAACATATATTACATACATAATATATATACTTCTTTGTTTCTGTTTGTGACAAATATATTTTCCTTTCATGTTTGGTTTGCCTGTTCATTTTCTTAATGGTGTCTTTCAAATAGTTTTTATTAAGTCTAATTTATCAAAGATGTGGGTGCAGTGGCTCATGCCTGTAATCCCAGCACTTTGAGAGGCCAAGGTGGGCAGATCACCTGAGGCCAGAAGTTCAAGACTAGCCTGGCCAACATGGTTAAACCCTGTCTCTACTAAAAATACAAAAATTATCTGGGTGCATTGTCGTGCCCTTGTAGTCCCAGCTACTTGAGAAGCTGAGGCAGGAGAACCACTTGAACCCAGGAGGCAGAGGTTGCCGTGAGGGAGATATAATAATAATCATGATGATTTATGAGATTTTATAATTTGAGTTTTAAGAAATTTGCCTACTCAAAGGACACGATTTTTTTCCTATGTTTTTTATTTTATGGAACTTTTATAGTTTTACCTTTTACATTTTAGTCTGTGATCCTTTATTTTTTTTGTACCATATGCAATAAGGATCAAGATTTTTTATCTGTTGGATAGTTGCTTGTTTCAGTTCTATTTGTTGAAAGACTCCACTTTTCCAACTTAAGTGACATGGACGTGGTCTGTTCCTCATCTTGTGTGTATGGCTTTACACCAATATGACACTATTGATTATTGTAGTTTTATTTGAGGCAGAGTCTCATTCTGTTGCCCAGGCTGGAGTGTAGTGGCACAATCATAGCTCAATGTAACCTCGAACATCTGGGCTCGACTGAGCCTCTTGCCATAGCCTCCTAAGTAGCTGGGACTGTAGGCATGCACCACCAGATCTTGCTAATTTTTACATTTTTTTTGTAGAGATAGGGTCTCACTATGTGGAATAGTGTGGTGTTGAACTCCTGCCTCAGCCTCCCAAAGGGATTACAGGTGTGAGCCACCACTCCTGGCCATCAGTGGTTTTACAATAAGTATCATACTCGGGTATTGGAAGAGCTTCAGTTTTGTTGTTTTCCTTTTTTTTTTTTCTAGATCCTTTGCATTTTCATATAAAATTTAGAGTCAACTTTTATCAACTTCTGGCTGGACGCATGGCTCACGCCTATGTAATCCTAGCACTTTGAGGCTGAGGCAGGCGGATCACTTGAGGTCAGGAGTTCGAAACCAGCCTGGCCAACATGGTGAAATCCTATCTCTACTAAAAATACAAAAAAATCAACCGGGCGTGTTGGTGGGCACCTGTAGAATCCCAGCTACTCAGGAGGCTGAGGTAGGAGAATGGCTTGAACCCAGGAGGGGGAGGTTTCAGTGAGGGGAGATCACACCATTGCACTCCAGCTTGGGCAACCAAGAGCAAAACTCTGTCTTAACAATGACAGAAAACAACTTTTATTAATTTCTACAAAAAGAAAGCCTCCTGGGATTTATACATCAATTTAGGGAGAAATTACATTTTAACAATTCTGAGCTTTCCAATTGTTGAACATGGTATACTACCCCATTTATTTAGATCTCTTAATCTCTCTCAATTTACAGGTCTCACACATTTTGTTAAATTCATGTATTTAATATTTCTGCATGCTCTTGCAAGTGGTAAGGTTTTTAAAAAGCTATTTTCTAGTTATTGCTAGTTTGTAGAAATGCATTTGACTTTTGTACATTGACCTTGTATAAAGCAACCTAGATCAGTTAACTTATTAGTTCCAATAGCTTTTTTCTAGATTCTTTAGCATTTTCGATGTAGAAAATCATCTGTGAATAAAGAATTTTACTTTTCCAATTCATATGGACTTTGTTCCTTTTCCTCATTGTACTGAGTAGGACATCTTGTTCCGTTTTCCTTAGAATTGGTAAGAGTACATCCTTGTTTTGATAGGATACTGTAACTCCCAAAGATTTGTGAATTACTCTATCATCATCTGTTTTCTGAAGTTGTTTATGTAATAATGATATTATTATTTCTTCCTTAAATGTTTGGGAGGTTTCACTCTGGAGAAACCTGGTACTTCTTTGTGGGAAGATTTTTTTTTAATTAAAAATTCAATTTTTTTCTTTTGTCCATTCGTTCTTTTTTTTTTTTTTTTTTNTTTTTTTGAGACCTAGTCTCACTCCGTCGCCCAGGCTGGAGTGCGTGCAGTGGTGTGTCACTCTGCTCACTGCAATGTCTGTCTCCCAGGTTTAAGCTATTCTCCCACCTCAGCCTCCCTAGTAGCTGGGACTACAGACGCACACCACCACATCCGGCTAATATTTGTATTTTTAGTAGAAACGGGGTTTCACCATGTTGCACAGACTGGTCTTGAACTTCTGGCCTCCTGATTTGCCCGGCTTGGCCTCCCAAAGTACTGGGATTACAGGAGTGAGCCACTGCACCCAGCCATAAATACAGTTTTCTAAAACAACTATACTATACCATACCATTTCAGGTCTTTCTATTTCTTGTGCCAAGTTTGGTAACTTTTCTCTCTCAAATAATTATTCATTTTGTGTAAAACAGTGAATTAATGGCATAAAGTTCAGAACATTCCATTACATTTTATTTTACATTCTTTTTGTTATTTTTGTTTGTTTTTGAGACAGTTTCACATTTGCTGCCCATGCTGGAGTGCAATGGTGCAATCTCAGCTCACCACAACCTCTGCCTCCCAGGTTCAAGCAATTCTCCTGCCTCAGCCTCCTGAGTAGCTGGGATTACAGGTGTGTGTCACCACGCCCAGCTAGTTTTGTACTTCTGGTAGAGATGGGGTTTCACCATGTTGGTCAGGCTGGTCTCGAACTCCCGACGTCAGGTGATATGCCTGCCTCAGCCTCCCAAGTGCTGGGATGACAGGCGTGAGCCATTGCGCCCGGCCTTTACATTCTATTTTAATTATATTTAAAAGGATGTCCTCTTTTTTTCCCCTGATGTTAGTAATTTGTTTCTTCTCTGTTTTCCTGATCAGTGTAGCTGGACATTTGCCAGTTGTCCAGTCCATTATCTGTTGCTTGTAAAAGAATACATGAACTGAGTAATTTATAAAGAAAGGAATTTATTTCTAACGATTATTGAAGCTAAGTCCACAGTCAAGGGGCTCTGTCTGGTGAGGGCTCTCTTGCTAGTGGGAACTCTGCCGAGTCCAGAGGCGGTACAGGACATCATGTGGTGAGGGCTGAGTATACTATCTCAGGTCTGTCTCTTCCTATCAAGCCCACTTCCATGATAACCCATAAAATCATTAATCCATGAGCAGATTTTTTCTCTTTTTGAGACGGAGTCTCACTGTCACCTGTGCTGGAGTGCAGTGGTGCAATCTCAGCTCACTGCAACCTCTGCCTCCCGGGTTCAATTGATTCTCCTGCCTCAGCCTCCCAAGTAGCTGGGATTACAGCCACCCACCACTATGCCCAGCTAATTTTTTGTATTTTCAGTAGAGACGGGGTTTCACTATGTTGGCCAGGCTGGTCTCGAACTCATCACCTTGTGATTCACCCACCTCGGCCTCCCAAAGTTCTGGGATTATGGGCATGAGCCACTGTGCCCAGCCAGAGTAGGTTAATTCATTTATAAGAGCTCCACCCTCATGATCCAGTCACCTCTTAAAGGCCCCACCTCTCAGTACTGCCATATTGGGGATGAAATTCCTACATGAATTTTGGAGGAGCAGATACTCAACATAGTATTCTGTCCAAAACCGATATCCTTCTCACAGACACATTTGTTCCAATCCCATAGTCCCCAGTGTCTTTGTTTGTTTGAGACAGAGTCCAGCTTTGCTGCCCAGGTTGGAGTGCAGTGGCGCCATCTTGGCTCACTGCAAACTCTGCCTCCCGGGTTCAAACGATTCCCCTGCCTCAGCCTCCTGAGTAGGTAGGAGTACAGGTGCCCGCCACCACACCAGGCAAATTTTTTTATTTTTAGTAGAGACAGGGCTTCAACATGTTGGCCAGGCTGGTCTCAAACTCCTGACCTCATGATCCACCTGCCTTGGCCTCCCAAAGTGCTGCGATTACAGGAGTCCCCAGATTTTAACTCATTCCAGCATGGAATCAAAAGTCCAAAGTCCAAAATCTCATCTGTGAGCCTGTGAAATCAAAACAAGTTATCTACTTCCAAGATACGATGACGGTGTACAGGCAAAAGACAGACGTTCCCACTTCATCAGGGAGGGGTAAGCAATAAGAAAGGGTGGCAGTACGAGGTGTGACGAGTGAGAAGGAGTCCAACTAGAGGAAAAAAAAGCCATGGTCGGGCGTGGTGGCTCACGCCTGTCATCCCAGCACTGTGGGGGGGCGGGGCAGGCAGATCCCAGTTACTCGGGAGGCTGAGGCAGGAGAACCGCTTGATCCTGGGAGGTGAAGGCTGCAGTGAGCCGAGATCACTCCATTGCACTCCAGCCTGGGTGACAAGAGCAAAACTCCATTCCAGGGGAAAAAAAATGGCCACCTCTGGAGCCCACACAGGCAGCAGTTCCTGCCCATCCTCCCGGTCAGCAGGAAGGAGGTTGCTTCCTGGGCAGCACTCCCAAACCGTGCAAGAAGTAGGCAGTGACTTTCTTTTTGCAGCCAGTCCTGGTGTCTCTTGCAGCTCACGAGAGAGTTGGCATGCAAATCCGTGGACGTCACCCCGGAGCCCAGGGTGCCAGCTCCTCTGAAACAGGGCCCCTCAGTGCTGCTGCTGCCGTGGCCGTCCCTGCTCCAGCTACAAACAGAAGCTCAGTTGCTGCCTGCTGGCTGTCTGAGATCTGCCCCTTCGGTTCTGGTTGCTCCCCACATGGCCTGGGAAGGAACCCGTGCTTGCTGGCAGCCCCTCCCACCCAATATGGGCACAGGCCGGCCACCTGCAGCAGACAGCTTGCTCCATGCTGCCAAGCCCAGCCTCAAACAAGTCCTAAAACTGCCTCACTCCTTCTTTCCCAGCCCCAGTGGGAGGAGGGGATGATTCTCACTTCCAGTCTTTGCCCATCGCTTCTTTATGTGGGGTTCACCTCTCCCGAGGATGCCTGTTGGTGGAAGCACGTTTTCCTTCCACGGGTAACTCCACCGCCCTAACAGCATGGGGGCTTCTTCCATGGCCTCCACAGTTATGAAATGCTGCAGCACCGACGGTGTGTTACCCTGGGTGCCATCAACAGCACTTCAGAAGAGGTGACTTAACAACAGAAACTAATTGTTCTCACACTTCTGGGAGCCAGAAGAGACCAAAGTGTCACGGGCTGGGTTTCTCCAGAGGCTCGTCTCCTTGGCTCCCGATGGCCGCCTTCTTGCTGTGTCTCAGCATGGCCCTCCCTCCCTCCCTCTGTGCACACCCCATGCTGTGTCACCGCGTGGTCCTCCCTCTCTCCGTGTGCATGCATATCCCATGTCTCTCTGTGCATCTGAATTTCCTCCTCTTCGAAGAACCCTCGTCAGATCATATTAGGGCCACACAAAGTCCCTGTTTTAACTTTAATACCTCTTTGGAGGCTCTATCTCCAAATCCAATCACACTCTGAGATACTGCGGATTAGGTTCAGCATTTAAGTTTCAAGGAAGCAGTACAACTCATAACAGGTAGATTTCCCAAAGCCTGCATTGTTCAATTTTAATCAAACAGGAATTATTATATATTTCCCCTGTAAAATAAGAGACAAGAGCTGGGCATGCTGGCTCATGCCTGTAATCTCAGCACTTTGGGAGGCTGAGGTAGGCAGATGCCCAGGAGTTCAGGACTAGCCTGGCCAACATGGCTAAACCTTGTATCTACAAAAAATACAAAAATTAGCCGGACATAGTAGCATGCACCTGTAGTCTCAGCTGCTCAGGTGGCTGAGGTGGGAGGGCTGCTTGAGCCCAGGAGGATGAGGTTGCAGTGAGCCAAGATCGCACCACTGCACTCCAGCCTTAATAATGATAGAGGGAGACCCTA